CTTATCAGTTTAATGCGTTAAATAAGGGATTAAAAACAAAAATTATAATTGACTCCCACTATTAACGCGTACGTTTCTTCCTTCAACCAAACAGTCTTTAATAAACCTCTAACTGAATTAGAAATTTAAATTTCAAATTGTGAAACTTTCTCCATGTTCTTCGAAAATTCAGTAGAAGTTTGATTCAAAAAAATTTGGAACGCAATTTTGTGAATTTTAAATTTCAAATTGTGAAACCTTCTCCCTGTTCTTCGAAAACTCAGTAGAAGTTTGATTCAAAAAATTTTGGAACGCAATTTTGTGAAGTTTCGTAATGAATATTTCGATCTTGTTAAGATATTCTGGATTATGGAAAAGTGATGTTAGATACGAGCGATACAGAAGTGATGGGATAGTGGTATCTGAAAATATTTCGTTCGCTAATCTTATTTCAGCAATTGCAGCTGAATGGATATCGATGAATTGAAAAAAAACATCGAGATCAGATACGTTGTTGAAGGTAATTCATCTCCATTGTGTATTCAGAATGATATGGGAGTGAAATTGTACATAGAAATTAAGAAACATGAGGTGAGATTCAGTATGTATCCTCTATGCATTGATACGTCGGAAAAAAGTGACGAAGAGATACAAAACTTCGATGCAACAACAGGTGCAATCGTGTGTGTTGAGGGTGGAAAGATTCTTGATGCTTGCTTTTTAGAAGTACTTTTATGCTTCATGTCTAATAATTCTCAAATTTGATACTTAATTAAGTACTTTTAGGTTACTATTTTGTGAAGCAATAAATGAAAAAATGTTATGTTTTGAATTCTGGCTACATTTTTTGATTGTTAATTTCTGAAAAAGTTAGTTTGGTATACATTGATGTGTTTCTGATACTTAATTGTTTGTAAATTTTGTATGGGATAGAATAATAGTATCAATAGTTGTGATGTGTGCCAAAGTTAAAAGAGACAACATATAAAAAAGGTATCAATTATATATCATATACATAATATCTTCTTCTAAAATTTGTATCTACTAATAATAGAGTATCGAAAGTTGTATTTTTTTACCTAATATTATATATCATATGCATACAATTTAATATTTGTGGATGCAATTGTGTTTCATGTACATAATAATTTTCTGAAAATTTGATATCAGCTTAAAAAAAGTTAGAGTAATTTTAGAACTAATTTTGTTTATCTGATACTTAATATCTTTGTAACAATGTGTGCCAAAGTTAAAAGAGACAACATGTAAAAAAGGTATAATTTGAATCAATGATATATCATATACATAAGATCTTCTTCTAAATTTTGTATCTACTAATAATAGAGTATCGAAAGTTGTATTTTTTACCAATATTATATATCATATACATACAATTTTGATATTTGTGGACACAATTGTATTACATGTACATAATAATTTTCTGAAAATTTGATATCAGCTTAAAAAAGTTAGAGTAATTTTAGAACTAATTTTGTGTATATGATACTTAATATCTTTGTAACGATGTGTGCCAAAGTTAAAAGAGACAACATGTAAAAAAGATATCATTTGAAGCAATGACATATCATATACATAATATCTTCTTCTAAATTTTGTATCTACTAATAATAAAGTATCGGATGTTGTATTTTTTACCAATATTATATATCATATACATACAATTTTGATATTTGTGGACGCAATTGTGTTTCATGTACATAATAATTTTCTGGAAATTTAATATCAGCTTAAAAAAAGTTAGAGTAATTTTGGTATCAATTTCGTGTATTTGAAACTTAATATCTTTGTAACTTTGGCATGAAATAATAAAAGCGCATCAATTTGAGATGTTTAAAGCACCTAAGTATGATATACATAATATTATGTAAATGATAATGATTTAGTATCATCTGTTGTGATTTGTACCAATCTTATAAGATATAATTTGTACCATGTTGTGTGAAGAATAAAAATTTGTTATTTGTGAAAACAATTTTGTATCATATACTTGATAATTGTATAAAAACACGTAATGTATCTTAAAACAATAGATCATCAACAATTGTCGGTGAATCGATATATAAAAATCTATTCTACATTAACAAGATCATCTTCTGTTGGTGGAGTGTAGTCACTCTTCGGCCTTGTAGATCATCATTCTCACTAACATATTCCGTCTTGGCCTTGTTGAGACCATACTTTCATAACAATAATGTTGCATATCTTGTGTGAAGATAGTCACTTTGAAAATCATTAGATGGGTGTTGATTTCACTGCTCAGAAATTCAACAAAAACAACAAAAAACATTCCGCAGTCACTATAAAAAAAAAAGATACATTTATAAAAAAAGATCAGATGTGTAAGTAAAGAAAAAATGATTCAATAGTTACAGACTGTCGCTTTCTTGTTGCATAATATTTTGAACAAATTCCACCTCAAACGAATGTTGTGGATCCAATAGTAACATGCAAATACATAAAATTACAGGAAAAAAAAATACATACTGTTGGTATTGCAGATCTGGATATGGCCGGGGCAACCCTTCTACCACTTTTCTTGGGTGTTTTTGCATGTGCCTCCTTTTTAGCTTTTGACTTCTTAGAACTTTGCTTAGCCATTGTTATAGGATCTTCATAATCAAAGATTCGATTAGTGTTGGTTGTGACTATTTGGATAATCCCAATATTAAAAGACGGATGATCCATAAAGTATAACAAAATATTTAAAAAATGAAAAAAAAAGTTGAAGATGAAGAAACTACCTATTTCAAACTCTGAAATTGATTGAATGGATAGAGAAGTAGTTTGAAATTCAAAATTGGAATAATGAATCTGTTGAGAATAATGGGGGAGAAAATTTGGAGATGGAATTGTGTGTTGTGGGAAAATCTGAAGAGAGATTGAGGGCGAAAATTAGGGAATGGGAAAGGTCAATTTGGCTTCCAAAAAATAAAGTATCCGGTTAAGTTGAATTGGGGGAAAATAAGGGATTTTTGTATTTTAATAAAAGAGTAGGGAAATATTGAGAATAAGTAAAGTAATGTTGTGTACTTAAGTAATTTGTCCTTAAAAATATTTGTCTTATATTACTTTATCACTTACTAAGAGCTTGTTTGGCATTGTTGCTAAAAACTGCTTATTTTTAGAAGTGCTTTTTTTTAAATACCTTTTCAGAAAAGCGCTTTTTAAAAAAAACAATTTGTAATTGACAAATTCATTTGAAAAGTGCTTTTGATAAGCAATTTGTGTTTGACTTATTTTTTTTTAAAAAAAGTGTTTTTGAGAGTCAAATTATGAAAAAGGGCAAGTATCAATGTTAATTAATTAAAATGTGCATATTCAGATTTTCAATCAATATTATACATAGATAAATATTGATGAAAAATATTGAAAAGATGAATCTTTTTGTTATTTGTTACATATTTTTTTGGATTCAATCTTAGCAATTATCCTTTTTTTGTTATAAATAATAATATAAAAATATAAATACAAAAATTATCATATAAAAATAAAAAATTAAAAAGAATTTTTTTGGATGAAAATTAACCAAACTTATGAGATATGTTAATTAATTAATAAGAGATATATTGATAAATATGTATATATATACATATATATAGATATTTTAGTCTTAAAGAAATAATTTTCTGCTTCTACTTCTGTTTTTTTTAAAAACATAATTTTTTAGATTCTTCCAACAACAGAAAAACTGCAATGCTTCTCTTTAAAAGCAGTTTTAAGATTTGTCAAACAATTAATTTTTCAAAAAAAAATGTATTTTTTTTTTTTTAAAAAAGCACTTCTAGTCTCTCAACACCAATGTCAAACATGTTCTAAATCAAGATAGAATTAATTATTATTATTTTCATTTTACCCCTACAATTAATATGACCTTTGGAAGTTTAAACAAATTTTAAAGATTAAAAAATTTCTTTTTTCAAGAGGCTAATTAATATGAACAAAGGGTAAAATAGTAAATTTGATCAATCGATTAATGATTTCTTAATTAATGTGTAAAATAAAAAGGGATAATTATGAAGAATAGCAAGCATTTCGCCTATATTAGGTACTATAACTACAGTTTAAAAAAATTATAATTCGCGGCTACAGTTTCCTCAATTCTTAATATTCATCTGATTGTATAATTTGCATGATTGTATAAATTCAGAATTTGTATAATTCGGTTACTGATTGTATAAATCCAGAATTTATATGATTCAGTTACTGATGGTATAAATCCAGAATTTGTATAATTCGGTTACTGATGGTATAAATCCAAAATTTGTATAATTCGATTACTCATTGTATAAATTCAGAATTTGTATATGCTTATCCTAGCTATTTGTATACGATTTATGAAATTTCATAATAAACTACCTTGTTTGTAAATTGGCAAGCGAAATATACAAACGAAGTTCTGAAAAATTCTTAAACGTACAAACAGAAATTGTATAATTTACAATGTTTGTATCGCAAGAGAAATTTATAAACCACACTCCATTTGTATATACTTACACTGTTTGCATATTTGCAAGCAAAATATATAAACCGGCAAGCGAAATATACAAGCCGCAGCCTCCATAACAAACAGAATTATAGCTATGGAGCACAATTATCGAAACTATAGTTATACAGACTACAGCCTTATTATATCTATTATATTTGCTATTTCTGAAATTTTCTCTAATAAAAACTGTCCATCTAATATGGGCGGAGGGAGTACAAGTTTTGGGGTATCTTTTTGCAACGTAAGCTCCTAATTGTCTTTTTCTGGAATTTATATATTTAATGACAAAGCTTAATTCAAATGCAGATAAATTGAAATCTTAAAAAAATTGAAAGGGACGCAATAAAGATGGATGGTTTAAATCAACTTTATAATATAAAGAAATGTTACTGCCAATTGCAAAGGCAAATTTATGTCACCTTTACCATGAAAAGGACAGTTTCAAAAGATGTTCCAATAATTGAAAAGATTGAGCAAAATACAAACTGTAATTTTGTGGTGGGACCAAAGAGAGAGTTTGATCAATCACTACTTTGTTTTGCTTTGTTTTGTTGTTTTTATAAATATAAGAAAAGAAGGGTCTTTGGAGGTTCATAGGACATGGTCAATCTTTACATTTCTTGTCCTATGATATGAATTTTCACCTCAATCATCAATAACAATCTTCAACTTGTTCAAATTCTACTTCTTTTACCTCCACCTTCAAGAAAGTAAGTACCCTTTATTTCTTTCTTCTTTATCTTTGCAAAAATCTTGGCTTTTTGCTTTTCTCTCTCTTTTTTGGTTATAGGAAACAAAAGTTTGCTTCTTTTTTATGGGGTGTTGATAAAAAGTGAGTCTGATCTGTACTTAGATCTCAATTTTTCAAGAAATATAATATTAGTGTATTTTCTGCTTCTGTTCTTGATTTCTCCTTATTGCTTTGGGTACTTGAGGACTTTATCTTGAATCTGAAGGTTTTGTTTGGATGTTTTACTGCATATATATACATATATAGATTGTTGTTGGTGATCTAAATTTTTTATCTTGAATCTTTATATCCATTTGTAGAAAGCTTAGGGTTATAGTTAGAGAGTTTAGGGGTTAGGTTATATACTTTACTAAATTTATATTTTGGGTTTGAAGTTGTATAATTTTGCATTGGAGATTAGGGTTTAGGATGGAAACCCAAAGAAGGGCTAGAAATAGGAAAGCGGCACCTTAACTTAATAGCTCGATTTCTTGTTCCTGAGCGGAAGGTACGCTCATACATCGCTATTTATTAATCCTTGCGTCTAGGAATAATGAGTCGGTTGGCTCTTAGAATATAGCCTCTCTCGGGGTTAGCGATAAGAGTACACCGGCCCGTGTGGTAGCGGGCGAACTAAGGATTTCGTGCTTGCAAGGAAGTGTGCAAGTGGGTGAACACATCACCAGTTATTTTGTCAAGTTTTATAGCATTTATGGTTAATAGGAGGTTGCTTGGATGGTAAGTATTTTTCACCTCCAATCCTGAGATTGTGAGTTCAAGTTATCGAGAGAGCAAAATAGTGGGAGCTCCTAGGGAGGAGTAAAAAAAAGAGCATTTATCTTCACATGTTTTTTCTGGAACAGCAAAGTGGAGAGAGGATGAGTAGAAATAACAATTTTTGCTTTATTTTTTTGGTAACCTCTTCTTTTTTGGTTGCAAGAAAGCAAATTTGCCTACTTTCTTAGAGAAAGGTTAGTAGTATGGGCTACTTCAGTTCTTGAATACTTAAATCTTGATTGCTAAATGGCACAAAATTGAACTGAAATGACCGAGAATCTTTCGGAAATAGCCTCTCTACCTTATCAAAGGTAGGGGTAAGGTCCGTGAATACTCTATCCTCCTCAGACCTTACTAGTGGAATTACACCTGAACTGATAGGACAGAAGATGGGGATTCTGGTTAATGGGACTTCTTCCATTTGTTTAGAAGTGGCTCCAATTTTCATTTCTAAACTAGAAATAAATATGCATTCCTAAGTTTCTCACCTGCTCTGTTGTAATGCTTCAATCATCTCTAGATGTTACATTGATGTGTATACTATAAATTCTTAGCTAAGAGGAATCAATCTAATCTGCTTCTGTTGGAGTTTACATCATGCATCTATTGGTTTGGTCACTGGTGTAAACACCCCGTGTGGGTAACTGTTTACCATATCATAATTTGTGGACTCACTGTTGTGATCTGCTTCAACGTTTCTTTACAATACCTGATTTCTATTTCTATGCAGATCCAGTGCATTGAGTTCTTCCAAAAGTTTGGCTTGAAGAGAAATTCCTCACCTCTACACTAGGTAAATTTTTGTATCACTACTAGTCTGATTCTCAGTAGATGTTATTTGGTCATTGACCTGATGTTTCTGTTAAGTTCGAGTACTTACGTTATGTCAAACGTTAATGTATAGTGCTATGAAATGCTTCATGCTTCACAGAAATACACATAAAGAATTACACAAATAACAGTAAAAATGGCTGCTTTGATGCTTTGAAACTGGTGACTCTTAACCGTTTCTCTTCAAAATGACCAATGATCAACCTCTATTTGCATTATTTTGCCTTCTGTACTATCAAAGAAGTATGGACAGGGATGGAACTTTGTTGCTTAACTTGAAACGTCTACTGATGCTGCTTCCTCTGAGCAATCTGTTTAATCTTTTTTCTACTTGAGGTCTGAAAGGAAACTAAACCAATTGAGGCCCTTCCATAATGTGTCAAGTTAGGAAAATCGTTATGAAAAGTAACTTACGGCAAAAAATTTGGAATTATTTTTTTATTATACCTATATGAAGATGGATTGTAATGCTGCTTTTGCTGAAAGAAAATGTGGGACTTGATTTTAGACCATCAGAGTCTCTTTGCTTGGTAACTTATTATATCTTCTTTGAAGTCCTGTATGACGTTCCAAATTGTCGACATTTCTTTCATTATCCAGGTTCCTATTCATAATGGGACTCTCACCATATACGACTCCGGCAGATGCAGGAGTGTTCTGTGTGATTCTGGTTAATACAGCCATATCCATCTCTATTGTCAAGGGAATGGTTCGATCTATCCTTCATGTGATCGGCATCAACTTTGCATCATGGGAAGAATATTCTATTGAAGGCCCCTTGGACCCATTTGAGTGTCGTGGGAGCCCCTCGGGATCATACATGGAGGAGTTCCGAAGCAGAACCCCTGCTGTTCGTTACGATTCATTGTGTATATCTAATCACCCTACACAAGAATGCCCGGTATGTCTGGCAGATTTCAACCATGACGCAGAGATAAACCACCTCTCATGTGGCCATGTTTTTCATAAGCTTTGTCTCGAGAAATGGCTAAAGAATTGGAATGTCACCTGCCCTCTCTGCAGGAATTACATTATGCCTAAAGAAGGTGAGGAAGATACTTGTCCGATGTGAATTTTGTAGTTTGTCAGGCTACTCCTTCTGTTCGATATGTTCTGATGTACAGCTTAGTTGGGTAAAAGTTTTATAGATGACCGCCTGATCGTTGAGACGGCATAATTCTGTAACCTTTTATGCTGTAATACTCTGCGTCCTATCATAGTGACGGGTCTCTTTGTTGCGACCAAGAATCCATACATTGTTGTACATATGTTATGAAATTGCCACTTCCTGATGTTTTCCATCTTCTGGCTTAGCTAGCAACTTTATAAGGGAACATTTTAATGCTTGATTGATATGGTGAAATGTCACATATTCCTAATAGATCTTTTGCATTGTTTGAAAATTATATGGCCAAGGCACATGAGGTTTGAGTTTCCTGTGAAATAGATCTCTCTTAAATCCCTGCTCATTCAATGTTTGCTTCAACCCTTGCTATGGAGAAAATTCTGTTGGGAGCGCCACCTACAGTGCGTGATCCGAATTTAGTTGGAGTTCCAATGTGTTCATCTTATTTTCTGTGTGTGCAGCTAAAGTCCTTGAATAAGAGGAAAAGGATGGGAAGATAGAGAAAAGAAGAAAAACACTGAGATCCAGTGTTAATAGAGGAAGTTTAAAGTGAAAATATAACAGAAAGGGGGTATTGTTGCAATTAAACTGAAGAGTGAAATTTTACTTTTTTCAAACTAACAACAATAACATACTTAGTGGAAGTCATTGGTGGAAAGAGGGTAGCAGATCTTACTTCTATCTGTGGAGGTAAAGAGATTATTTTCAGAGGACATTCGGGGTGAGTACAACAAATCAAAGTAGATATGAAAAGGAAAAAATGACCGTGAAGAAGGCATAACAACTAATTAAAGGAAACATTAACAACAACAAAATAGTATAATAATTGAAATTTACTAAACAACATATGATAACAGAAATCAAAAGCAATACACTATAAGAATAAGGCTAATTCATACTACGACAGACAACACTTCACTATCTACTAACCTTATGCCCTATTTGTGACCACCACACCCTCTTAAGGTTAGGTTTTCGATGATTCAAGTTGTGTCATGTCCTGTCTAATCACATCTCTCCCATACCTTTTCAATCTACCTCTACATTTGCTTGTACACACTATATCCAATCTCTTGCACCTTCTCACGATGCGCTTCTCCACTTCACATGTTCTAACCATCTCAGTCTGACTTTCCTTATTTTATCCACTACGGAAGTCACTCCCATCTTGTCGAGGATATCCTCATTCTTGATCTTATCGCCCCTAATATGCCCACACATTCATCTAAGATTTGGTATTATTATATTTCTACTTCATAAGTATAAATTTCTTGTTGTAATATTTAATTTCTTACCTACACAATCTAAAAAAATATTAAATAGACAGGATACATACTATCAATTGAAAAGGAAGAGGATTAAAGAGTTGAGCCAATATGGAAACAGAGACAGTAGCTTTCTTGAAAGCCCTGAGATATTGTAGAATGCATAATGTTTTCCTTCAAACTGTCTAAGGAACATTATGCATCAAGTGTGAAAAATATCTTGGAAAATAGCTAGGAGGGTTGAGGAAATCAAAGAAGTTCAATCCATAACATAAAACTGTTGATATCTTGTTGTAAACTAAAATAATAAAATGAAAGTACTGCTAATGCAAGGAGAAGCAAACCTTCACCAATTACATTTTTATTATTTTAAAATTTTCTAAATTACTGTTACAAACTTGAAAAAAAATAGTGGAGTTAAACGAGGCGAGGTGGGGTAGATTGAAAAATAAAAAAAATATTAGACGGAGAATGGAAAGACTATGATAGAGCAAGGGTTCAACCCCTAGCCCAACCCCTCCTATTGTCATCCCTACGACGTAGGGAAGTCATTAGATATACAACAAAATTAAAATTACTTCCGTTAGTCCAATATAAATAAATTGTTGGAGGATGTCATACCCCTTAAGGAAGATATTTCAAAAATTACTATGTTAGTTCTTCCTGTTGAGAATATCATTAATTAATAAAAGTGTGCTCTCTCTAACAGCTTAAGCTTTTAGATAAGATGCTCACACTTTTAACACTTCCCAAACTCTTCTTAAAAGTAGAGTCACCATTTGATATTTAAAGTAGTTAAAAACACATTAAAAGAAGGATAATTTTGAAGGAAAAATAATAATAATACACTCTTTTGAGTTTTGAACAATTTATTTATTTTGGACCATAAAAAAATCGCGAAAGTTCATTTACATTGAATTTAGAGAAGTACAACCAATTGGGGCATGGTAAATATACATACATATATAGCTTGATTTGTAAGTTTTTTTTGACAAATTTATACCACCAGACAAAGTGTAGTGCTTGATTTGTCAAATCCAATATCTGAACAATTTTTTATCCAAGTGAGTATTCCCCATGTTGTAGGGTTAGTTCTTCAATAGAGATCCTATGGGTTCAAGCTTTGTCTTATATTGGAGTTTTGCCAAGGACTAAGGAAGAAGAGTTGTCATCTATTGAGAAACCATCATCTTAGTAAAGACATTCTTAAGGATAGTGACAGATTAGCCAGCAATGAAGATACAAGGAGCTAGGATCTCCATGTATCTTCATATTTCCCACCAAAATAGCAATAAGATCAATAATGTTATCATATTTTCAGTATTAATCCTAGAGATCCAACAGAGCATTGAATGCCAAGCTTGTCATGTGCTGTTTAGATGTACAGTATCTTAACTAAAATACAGCAAATTCTTTTATCAAACACATGTTCAGGACCCCTCCCCACATTTACTTCATGGCATTGTACATCTGTATTGAGTACTGGAAAAAACAAACACAGACAAATAAAGAAAAGATATACATCACAGAAAATCTTGGGCACAAGCAAGATTTCATAATTTTCAACAAGCTCTTTAAAAGCTGCATCATATCAATCAATTTACCCCCACATGCAAAACTGAATCAGCATCTGGAAGCACCAATAACAACAGTCCAAGTACACCCCTTTTAAATGTCAAAACTAACTTTACACATAAAGATGATTGAAAGCAAAAAGAGAAAGAAAAAGTATTAAAATCCCCTAAGCCCCTCATTGCTTTAAACAGTCCTAACCTACCAATAGAAGGATATATATATATGAAAGAAATGTGGAAAAAAAATGACCAAAAAGAAAAGAGTTGACACTGAAAACTATCGAAGGGCTAACAAAATGTAAACGAAAACTGATATGTTTATACCTGCTTCAAACTAAAGAATGTCACTATTCGTTACAGGAGGATTTTACCCTTTGAATCCTCAATCCCAAGCAAGAAAAGAGATACCTCGTCTTTTTTCCTTTTTTTTTCAGGAAGGGGCATTTCTAATAGATTTACAGTCAACCTCCACAGTGATTGTCTTCTAGGCACGTGCTGGATACTTCCTCCGTCTCCAAACTAATTGTAACCCCCAAAATTGTAATCAAGAATTTCATTTTCTTTCCGGTTTACAAATGGCAGGACCAGCTCCTTAGTAGCTGCTTGGCCAGTTAATTTGTGAATGTTGAGGCTGCTGATAGACAGTGGCTGTGGGTCCAACCATATCAATTGGACCAGACATCGTCTGCGACTGTTGCATAAGTGGGTGAACAGTCTGTGCTGTCACTGGTTGTGCTGGATGATAAAGACCAGCAATGTTTCCATGGCCAGGTTGTGTGGGAGTAAAAGCCACTTGACCCTGGGGTAGGTTATAAAAAGAACTTGCTTGCAAGCTGGATAAATCTCGACCTGGAGTAATCCACATACCTGAGCCCTCACTCTGCAACAACAAAATTGTTCACCCCTTTAAGCCACATAAATAAAGTACAAACCCAAAAAAGATGATAAACACAGTCCAGAGAGACCTATGGGCTCAGGCCTTACATAAAGAACGAGTCTATTTTCCAAATAATCATCTATAAATTTGGATACCTTTATAAAATTTGGACATAGTATCAAGGTTACACGTAAAATTATTCAGTTGATACAAAACTCAAAGCAAACAGTATAGAAAAGAGTTTACCACACAAAAAGTCAGAAGAACAAATCATAGTAGAAGCTCACTCATTGTTTAGAAATAAAAGTAAATAAGTCAGTTTCAAAAGAGGAGAAGCCTTTCTAGACAGACGAGGAACATGCCATTTCAATTTCACTGTACGAGCCCAATAACCATCAGGTTGTCCCACTCAAGGCAAAAGTGTTCGAAAGGAAAATTACTTGACACAAGAACAAGAATATGGGATCCTAGAAATTTTCTTGAAAGGACTGCCATGCAACACAATTTCTAGTTTGCCACAATCTTGAAAAAAGAAAAGAAAAGTTTTAAATGTTGGCGAAGTATACACAACCCTACAAGGGCGTAGTAGCCCATAGAACTTCCACAAAAGAAAACCACCATCCAAAGCAAATATATATATATATATATATATACACACACACTCGCACATGCATGTACTATAGAACACACGTGCATGTTAAACTCTGAAAACTGCAAGCAAAAGTATAAATGCAGGGCAGAGTATAATTAGTTCTCCACTTTAAAATACTAAAGTCACAATACTGGACACTCAAAAAAGTTAAAAGATACTCCCTCCGTTTCAAAAGAG